CTATTAAAACTATCAAAAAGGCAAAATTTGGCCAAATCGAGCCGCGCATTTCTCATCGCGTACGAGGAGCAGCCCGATTTGGCCAAATTTTGCCCGGAGCCTGCCCGGCAAAATTTGGCCAAATCGAGCCGCGCCTTTCTGGAGGCCCGGAATTATTTCATTGTTTTTTTTATTTTTATTATTTACATAATTTAAATAGTTTTGGGCCTCCAGAAAGGCGCGGCTCGATTTGGCCAAATTTTGCCGGGCAGGCTCCGGGCAAAATTTGGCCAAATCGGGCTGCTCTTCGTTATGCGATGAGAAATGCGCGGCTCGATTTGGCCAAATTTTGCCCGGAGGCTGCCCGGCAAAATTTGGCCAAATCGACCCGCGCATTTCTCATCGCGTACGACGAGCAGCCCGATTTGGCCAAATTTTGCCCGGAGCCTGCCCGGCAAAAATTGGCCAAATCGAACCGCGCCTTTCTGAAAGCCGGAAATTATTTAATTGTTATCGCGTACGACGAGCAGCCCGATTTGGCCAAATTTTGCCCGCAGACTGCCCGGGAAAAATTGGCCAAATCGAGCCGCTAGTTTTTAATAGTTTGGGAGGCTTCTTAAAAGTTGAAATTATTAAAACTACTAAAACTATTAAAACATAAAAAGGAAAAAGCCTGGCCTGGAGATTCCTGAACTTTTAAAACTTTTAAAACTATTAAAACTATTAAAAAGGCTTCTTTTTAATAGTTTTAATAGTTCGGGAGGCTTTTTAAAAGTTGAAACTATTAAAACTATTAAAACTATTAAAAAGAAGCCTTTTTAATAGTTTTAATAGTTTTAATAGTTTTAAAAGTTTTAATAGTTTGAAAAGTTCAGGAATCTCCTGGGCAAGGCCGTTTCTTTTTAATAGTTTTAATAGTTTAGGAGGCTTTTTAAAAGTTGAAACTATTAAAACTATTAAAACCATTAAAAAGAAACCTTTTTAATAGTTTTAATAGTTTTAATAGTTTTAATAGTTTTAAAGTTTTAATAGTTTCAAAAGTTCAGGAATCTCCTGGCCAAGGCCGTTTCTTTTTAATAGTTTTAATAGTTTGGGAGGCTTTTTAAAAGTTGGAATTATTAAAACTATTAAAACTAAGGCCTGGCCTGGAGATTCCCGAACTTTTAAAACTTTTAAAACTATTAAAACTATTAAAACTATTAAAACTATTAAAACTATTAAAACTATTAAAAATATTAAGAGGCTTCTTTTTAATAGTTTTAATAGTTGGGGAGGCTTTTTAAAAGTTGAAACTATTAAAACTATTAAAAAGAAACCTTTTTAATAGTTTTAATAGTTTTAATAGTTTTAATAGTTTTAATAGTTTTAATAGTTTTAATAGTTTTAATAGTTTCAAAAGTTCAGGAATCTCCTGGCCAAGGCCGTTTCTTTTTAATAGTCTTAATAGTTTTGGAGGCTTTTTAAAAGTTGGAATTATTAAAACTATTAAAAGAAAATTGTTTTTAAAGTTTTAATAGTTTAGGATGCTTTTTTGAAAGTTCAAAACTATTAAAACTATTAAAACTTTAATACAGAAAGCAGCCATGTCAGATAGTACATAAAGGTTGCTCTTACATATATATATATATACACACCCACACACCCACACACACACACACACACACGCACGCACACAGACACAGACACAGACACAGACACAGACACAGACACACAGACACACAGACACACAGACACACAGAGACACAGAGACACAGAGACACAGAGACACAGAGACACAGAGACACAGAGACACAGAGACACAGAGACACAGAGACACAGAGACACAGAGACACAGAGACACAGAGACACAGAGACACAGAGACACAGAGACACAGAGACACAGAGACACAGAGACACAGAGAGACACAGAGACACAGAGACACAGAGACACAGAGACACAGAGACACAGAGACACAGAGACACAGAGACACAGAGACACAGAGACACAGAGACACAGAGACACAGAGACACACACACAGACACACAGACACACAGACACACAGACACACAGACACACAGACACACAGACACACAGAGACACACAGACACACAGACACACAGACACACACACAGACACACAGACACACAGACACACAGACACACAGACACACAGACACACAGACACACAGACACACAGACACACAGACACACAGACACACAGACACACAGACACACACACACACACATGTATGTGTGTGTATATATATATATATATTTACATTTACATATACATATTCATATACATCTACATATACATATACATATATACATATACATATACATGTACATATATACATATACATATACATTTTCATATACATATATACATATACATATACATGTATACATATACATATGCATATACATGTACATGTACATGTACATATACATATACATGTACATCTACATATACATATACATATACATATATATATATACACATATACATACAACACACACACACATATTTATATCCATATATATATATTTTTTTTTCTATATCTATATCTATATCTATATCTATATCTATATCTATATCTATATTTATATCTATATCTTATCTCTCTCTACATAGATAGATAGATATGTATATATATATATATACCTGTATCAACTCAGATCGGTTCATATTTTTCGAGAATCAATTTTCACAGGGTGTAGAGTGCACCTTGACAGCGGACTGGACGCTCGTCCACCGGAGACCAGAGGCTCAATGCAAAGTGCCCGACTGCCTCTGGCTGAAGACCGTTGCTGGGCTCTAAACCCTAAACCCTAAACCCTAAACCCTAAACCCTAAACCCTAAACCCTAAACCCTAAACCCTAAACCCTAAACCCTAAACCCTAAACCCTAAACCCTAAACCCTAAACCCTAAACCCTAAACCCTAAACCCTAAACCCTAAACCCTAAACCCTAAACCCTAAACCCTAAACCCTAAACCCTAAACCCTAAACCCTAAACCCTAAACCCTAAACCCTAAACCCTAAACCCTAAACCCTAAACCCTAAACCCTAAACCCTAAACCCTAAACCCTAAACCCTAAACCCTAAACCCTAAACCCTAAACCCTAAACCCTAAACCCTAAACCCTAAACCCTAAACCCTAAACCCTAAACCCTAAACCCTAAACCCTAAACCCTAAACCCTAAAGCCGAACCTTAAGACGTATGTCAGGTTTACCACAACCCACCCGTCGTCAACGAGTCCATTTATGAAGCCCCAGAATGCCGCGATGTCTACCCCCGGTTATAGGGTTTTAGGGTTTAGGGTTTAGGGTTCAAGGTTTAGGGTTTAGGGTTTTAGGGTTTTAGGGTTTAGAAGTTAGTGTAAAGGGGCCATTGAAAGTAGGAGAAGCCTACTGCTTGCAGTGTCGGCATTCTTCGACACATTCTTTGATCTTCTTGCTTGTGCTTTAGGGTTTAGGGTTCAGCGTTCAGGGTTCAGGGTTTAGGGTTTAGGGTTTAGGGCTTATTATAAATGAGGACTCTCAAGCTCATTGAAGGCAAAGGGCGAGCCAGCGCGTGGCAACCATGCTTCTAGGGCCCGATGCAATCCCCAATGCAGAGCCTTGCAGCTACATGGTAATCCTAAACCCTAAGCCCTAAGCCCTAAGCCCTAAGCCCTAAGCCCTAAGCCCTAAGCCCTAAGCCCTAAGCCCTAAGCCCTAAGCCCTAAGCCCTAAGCCCTAAACCCTAAACCCCTACCCCCCCAAGCTATTAAACACTTCCTTGTATTGATTTCTATGGTATGTATTAATATTAACAGGGGCCGGGGGTTACGGGGTTTAGGGCATGTAGGGTTGTTTTGTCTTGAGTCCCTGCGTATGGTGGAAAATGCCTGGCACCTCTTGGCTCTTTGCAGGTGGTGTCCACTCAACCCTAAGCCATAAGCCCTAAACCCGAACCCAAAACGCTAAACCCTAAACCCGAAGCCCGAAACCCTAAACCCTAAACCCTAAACCCCAGGGCTGTGGGGCGAGGTTAAAGACCCTCGTTGCCGCTTGGGTCGGAATCTGGTTTACACCCAAAACCCCAGGCCCTAAAGCCAAATTCCTCAGCACCCCTTCCTAAACTTTAAGCCCTAACCTTAAACCCTAAACCCTAAACCCCTAAACCCCTAAACCCTAAACCCTAAACCCTAAACCCTAAACCCCTAAACCCCTAAACCCCTAAACCCCTAAACCCCTAAACCCCTAAACCCCTAAACCCCTAACCCTAAACCCTAAAACCCTAAACCCTAAACCCTAAACCCTAAACCCTAAACTCTCAACCCCCCAAAAGCCCCCCGAAACCGCAGCAAGACTGCTCAACGCCATGCGACACGGAGCTTCAGGGTGTATGGGCTCTTCGAGTTTGAGGGTTCAGGGTGCAGGGCTCCAGGGTTTCAACGTTGAGGGTTCGGGGTATAGGGCTCCAAGGTTGAAGGGCTCAGGGCTAAACCCTAGACCCTAGACCCTAAACCTTCAACCCTAAACCCTAAACCCCAAACCCTAAACCCTAGTGTTGGGCGGATATATGCTCCCGGACATCGCAAGAGAGCCCGCAGAAGGGCCCCCCCGCCCCCTCCCCCCAATTGTTTCATGGTGTTCATCCATATCTAGGTCGGAGGCTCAGACTGCTCTAGTTCAAGGTTGCCAAAAACAGGAGACGGGAATTCTTTGTTTCTAGGGCGCTCCCGGGAGCATGGGCTGCTTGAGACCCATGGAATGCTTGCAGCGACCAGGTTTGAATTGGCGGTGCCCTAGAAGACTCGTTGAGGGATGCTTGCTGGGTTTAAGGTTCAGGGTTTAGGGTTTTTGGTGGGGTTGCTTGCCCAGCTCAGCATTGCAGCCCCGAGAGGAAGGGGTACCACTGTCACAAGAGCCTTGCGACCCACTCATGCCGACCCTAAACCCTAAACCCTAAACCCTAAACCCTAAACCCTAAACCCTAAACCCTAAACCCTAAACCCTAAACCCTAAACCCTAAACCCTAAAATCTCGGAGGAATTCCTGTCGGCCGAGAAGGAAGGTAGGCTGGATGAGGCGGTCGCAAGAGCTCTGCGACGGAAGGCAGGGATCAAGGCAGAGCCGCCATGTTGGAATCTTTCGAGGTTTAGGGTTTAGGTTTAGGGTATAGGGTCTAGGGTTCACGGTTTAGGGTTTAGGGTTTAGGGTTTAGGGGGCTGGCATGAACAGTCTGTTCACTCTACTTCTGTGGTGGCCTGTGTTTGGCCGTTCGACATGTGCACAAGTAAGTCCAGTTGGTGCTTCTTCTTGCTCATGTTTGTTAGGAGTGGTCCTTGTTGCTGCCACACCGTGTTGTTCCGAGGATGGTTTTCATCCCAGGTTCTATGTTGCCCTTGTCCTTTTCCCTTCCCTTGGCACCCACTCCTTACTCCAGCATGCTGTTTCCGCAGCTGACACCCTTGCAGCAGCAGATGTGTTGTATTGCTCTCTTGCACGTGACCCGACCCCTGAAACATCGAACCCCAAACCCTAAACCCTAAACCCTAGACCCTAAATCCTAAATCCTAAACCCTAAGCCCAAGACCCAAGACCCAAGACCCTAAGCCCTAAACCCTAAACTCTTCTAATGGCAAGGCTGCCACCTCGTTTGAGACGGCTGCGTGGCTGCGGGAGTTCAGACAAACAGGCGCATACAAATCTCTGGAACTCAGGCTCATGGTTAGGGTTTAGGGTTTAGGGTTTAGGGTTTAGGGGTTTAATTCGGGGTTTAGGGTTTAGGTGTCATAGCTCCAAATGGGGTCTGGGGGGATTTAGGGTTGTGACATGTCAGTCAATTTTGCACACTGTTCTTGTTGGGGTAGCTCTTGGGCTTCAGCTTTGCCAGGTGCTGGGCCCGAACCCCAAACCCCGAACCCCAAACTCTAGACCGCAAACCCTAAGCCCTAAACCCCAAACCCTACACCCCGAACCCCGAAGCCTTACGCCCCAAACCCAAAGTCTCCACAGGCCGCTGGGATCTGGCTTTGGCCGTCCTGGCCGCGCTGCGCCGGAGCGGCGGTGCTTGCGGCCGCTTCCAGAAACCCGGCGCTTGGAAGTGTTCTAGTCGAGCATACGTAATATGTATATGTATATATGTATATATATATATATATGAGCCTGAGACCTTTCGGGTTCTTTAAGCTTAGTGTTTACAAAGCAATTTTAAAAAATAAGTATAAATCTGGTCTAATATTAATATCTATGATATGTAAAGACATCTGCCGAGCTCATAAGAGCATGCATGCTTTCAAATAAAACTTTTAAATCTTTCAAATTAAACCCTACACTCTACACTAGAAACTCCTTTTTTTCCGACTCTCTGCGAGCTAGTTGCGATCATGCCTAATCTCTGCCCTGCACACATCATAGCACGACTTTTAACAAAGATTCAGGGTTAGAGTTTAAGTCTACCGTTAACCTGAAGCCCTAAACCCTCAGAGTAGTGTAACGTTTAAGACTAACAATTCCAACAAGTGAATGAGGCAGGTCAGAGATCAGCAAGCACATGTAAAAAAATGCCGGCCGTGCAATGTCTAGCCTCTACTTTCAAATCATCTAGCGCTTAGGGTTTAAGGTTCAAAGATTAGGGATAAGGGGTAAAGGTTTAGGGCCCAAGGCTAACCCTAAATCCTAAACTCTCTAAACTCTAAACACAAATCTGCCCCAATAAAAGTAAAGGGAAGAACTACGGCACCATAAGCACTAGTATTGTTAACATGTGCTTCGAGCATTATCTGCTAATGAGTCATGATGTTTTCTTGTTTGTTTATTTGCAAATTTTTCATGTCAAGCGTACAGCAGGTCTTGGGCGACAACGGTGAGATTCTTAGACTCGCGTCTGCTTTGCTTGTAGTTGCATATAGTGTTGTTTCGACGAGGCTCTCTGATTGCCGGCGACCAGAATGCTCTTCCTGCCGAAGTTCAGGCGCCATGATTTAGACGCATTCTTAAGAATTTATTCGTTTATGTCTCGTAAATCATGTTATCTTTACGGCTATGATTGCTGAAATGATGATAAATGAGCTATGGCCACAAGTGTCGAATATATGTACAACTTTAATTAGTTAATTCAAGAAATATCTAAATGTAAGCACACAGATGTACATGTACAAAGCAATCTGATCCATGACTTTGTCGTGCATTTTTATTCAATTGTTGCGCAAACATTCTCATAAGCTCATGGGGCTTGCAGACGCTTGCTTGGCAGGAGGAACAAGAGATCGTCCAGACCTTAATTTTGCTTGACCGATTCATTTTTTTAAGCTATTCAGATTCTTTCAGGCAGTCGGCGTTCCATTTATGTGGCTTGGCCGGGCGCTTAAACTCACAGCAAAAAAATCTAGGTTGTTTCTGTATAACACTCAAGAGTCTGGGTCGAGTGGGATGCCCAATTCCTGATGGCTCAGAACGAGGCTCCAACTTGCTTATTTTGTTACTTATTTTTTTCATTGCCTTCTCAGGTGGTACTCCTGACCGCTGGCACGGAGGAGTATTGCGCACCACACGGCTCCACCGGGCTTCATCGCCCGGTGGAACCGCGCGCGAAATCATCATAACAGGCGCTGGGTCCTGGATATCGCGTGATTAGAATCTGAACTTGTTATGTTGTTTCTGCACTACAAAGACAATTATGTATTTATATAGTTTCTTCTGATTCTTTCATACACACTGGGCCCAGCGCAGATGATCAGCGCCTGTTCGAAACCTCGCATTCTTTTGCCTAGAACAATATATAATAAATCTAACTATTATCCACACTAGCACTGACTTTAATGTAAGTAGATCGCGTGTAGATACAAACAAATAGTGTCGTTTGAGTTTTTAAAAAAAACAACATAAATAAAGTTTGCCTGGGTTTATCAGACAAAAAAACGCCATAAACAACATCTACCTGGATCTACGCGGTGCTGTTCAGTCGTGTTATTTGAGAAAACACCATGGAAAAATTTTGCTTGGATCTAACCGTGTTGTTTTCTTACTGAACACATCGCGTGTAAATACAGGCATTTGTCGTCCTTCAAACTTTTAGAAACAACACCATGATTCAAGTTTGCCTATGTTTATCAGACAAAAAAACATCATGAGCCAAAAAACTAGATCTACGCGACGCTGCTTTCCACATTTTCGTGGCGTGTTTTTTTTTCATTTAAAGTAGTGCATTGCTTGCGATTTGTTATCTAGCCACACAAAACGAAATAAACACTCATAGGCTTGCAGAATAAAAATCACTGTTGATGGAATTATATAGAAAAAACTGACGTCCTGCTGTGTACAGATCATGTCTTCACAAATATATCTAGATGTGTAAAACAAAGAAAAATATTGCAACCGCCTTTCTTAAGATCTAGTGCGTTTGAATATATAGTCAACACATATATGTGTATAGTTGAAGTAGAAATACATAGCATTCAAGTGTGTGACTTGGAGCCCTTCGACGACAGCAGTTCAATGTAAGCACAGCCGAAGGGCGTGTGTCACCCGGAAACAAGATGCATCGAGCCCTAAACCCTAACCCCAAACCCTTAAACCTTAACTCTGAAAGCTTTTGAAAAAAGACAGCGGTGTCCCTGGGAAACTAGCATTCAGGCGCGCGACCTGAAGCAATGCGACGGCGCAGTTCAATGTAAGCACAGCTGGAAGGCGTGTGACATCCGGAACCTCAATGCCTCGGGCCCTAAACCCTAAACTCTTGGCTACGTGTGAATAAACTCTAAAATCTCCACCCTCAATTCTCAACCTTAAACTCTCGACCCTAAACCTTAAACCCTCGTTTTACTCGCCCATCGTACTTCCTCCACTTCCTCAACTCTCCACTCACCCCTCATCCACATCCCCGCCCCTTCCCATCTCTCCATCTATTTCTATCACTTTACAACCATACTAAATGATTTCAACCGCCGTCGGAGGCCGAGCCGTGTAGTGAAGCTCGGGGGATTGCTAAACGGGAGAGGGGGAAGCGGAAGGGCCTGTTACCTGCATATACCCCTCTCCCGGCCCGCGGCGGTTGAAGTCTGTACTTATATATAATTGCCTATGTGTGAAAAATGTTCCAAGGTCCTTACCATCCCTCCTTCACCCCACCTGTCAATCATTGTTAATGATTTTGTCTGTGGCTATGGCTATGTGCGTGAGCGTTGTAGGAACAATCTGGGCCTCACAAAGGTATAGTAACAATTCTCTGGCAGCACTATCAATGAGCCAGGGGTTCGGGGAAGCAGAGCGGCGCTTCGGCAAGAGCAAGCTTCCGCGAGTGCTGCAGCCACATGCGCATCTCGTTAGCTGACTGCTGTGATTGGCTATACTATGGAGTTGGAGCTACCGCGGTGTTACTAAGCACCGAATGCCTGGCAATGGCTTTCTGATCGTTTAGGAATATTGTCGGGAAGAGAGGGCGAAAGCAGGCAAGGAGACGTATATAAGCTGTTCATGACTCACCGGTAAGGTGATGCTTCTCCCGACGCCGCCGCGTGTGCCGCCTCCGGCGCAGGCACGCAGTGTCAGTGTCAGCAGGATCATTCTGATGCCTCTGTAAAAATGTTGACTCAGATAATTCCAATTGTCCATAGAGACAAAGTGGATGAGCGTGTCGCTCTCTGCGTGAGTTCGTTCAGGTGTTTCTCAAGATTGACATCACGATAACCTTTCATCAGGTAGCAGAGAAGAAAGACGAGAAGAAGCACTGCACGTGGCAACGCCCGGTCAGCTTCTCAGTGAAGTAAGTTTCCATGCTCCGAGGGTTATTTAAATAATTTACTTCAACTGAATTAAAAAATAAAAGAAACTAAAACTTAAACAATTTAAAAAAATCTGGAAGGCCGAGACCCCTGATTTTCTAAATAATTAAATAATTTAAGTAATTTACGTATGAATAATTATTTAAATTACTTTATTTTTTAATTCGATTGAATGAAACTATTTAAATAATTGAACTATTTCGATACTTAAATTGTTTAAACTTTTTAAACTAAATTTCGATACTTAAATTATTTAACTTATTTGATTCACTCGAAGGCCGAGACCCCTGATTGATTCAAACACATAAATAATTTAGAAATTTCAAGATGGAAAATTATTGAAATTATTTTATTATTTAATTCGACTGAATTAAATTATTTGAATATTTTACATAAGTTTAGATACTTAAATTATTTAAATTATTCAATTCAGTTGAACAAATTAAATAATTTAAATAATTCTGGAAGGGCGAGGCCCCTGGTTCATGAAAATCCTTAAACAATTTAAGGATGGAAACTTATTTAAATTATTTTAGTATTTACTTCGATTGATTTAAATTTTTTGAATAATTTAAATAAATTTGGATACTTAAATTATATAAAGTATTTAATTCAGTCGAATTGAATAATAAATTATTTTAACAAATTTAAATAATTTAAATATTTTCAATAATTTAAATTGCAATTCTGGGAGGCCGAGACCCCTGATTCATTTAGGTACTTAAATAATTTAGATAATTTAAGGATGGAAAATTAACAATGTAAATTATTTTAGTATTTACTTCGATGGGTTTAAATTTTCTAAATAATTTAAATAAATTTGGATACTTAAATATTCAAATTATTTGATTCAGTCGAATTACAAAATACAATAATTTTCAAAATTCAACTAATTTCAACAACTTAAATAATTTCAATAATTCTGGGAGGCCGAGGCCCCTGATTCATGTAAATAGTTGAACAATTTAAATAATTTGAGGATGGAAAATTTCTTTCTTTAAACTATATTATTACTTCTATCTCGGTTGAATTAAATTCTTTAAATAAGTTAAACAAATTTCGATACTTAAATTATTTAAATTATTTATTACTCATACTTAAATTATTTCAATTATTTGATTATCTAAATAAACCAGGGGTCTCGGCCTCCCAGATTTATTTAAACTATTTAAATTATTTAAACTAT